GGCAGGCTGTTTCCGGATAAGACCCCCGGTGCTATCGGTATTTCCTCTCCATCGAGGTTCACCCCCGTGCTGTCTTTCAGTAAACAAGAAAAACCGAAGAACAAGACGCGAAATTCGAATTTTTAGATACGAGAAACAGACGAGAAATACGAATTTTAGTCGCGGAAAATCTAAGCGGAATACGAATCTTTAGATACGAATATCGAAATGCAAATCTTCAGATGCAGGAAGTAGACGCGAAATCAAAATTTTTACATGCGAAAAGTAGGCACGAAATTACGAATTTTTATGTACGAGAAGCAGACACGAAATTACGAACTTTTAAATGCAGGAAGCAACTTCGAAAAGTGCCCGCGAAATACGAATTTTTAGATGCGGAATGTAGACACGGAATATGAATTTTTAAACGCGGAAAGTAGCCGCAGAATATGAATTGTGTAGACACGGATTGTAGATGCGAAATACGAACTTTTAGACACGAAAAGTGGACGCGAAATACGAATCTTTATATACGAGAAGTAGACGCGAAATACGAATCTTTATATACGAGAAGTAGACGCGAAATACGAATCTTTATATACGAGAAGTAGACGCGAAATACGAACTTTTTACCGCGAAAAATGGAAGCAAAGAATCGGCCCTTCCTCTAATTTCAGTTTAATGGTCCTTTCAGGTCGTGGTTGTACGTATTTTGCACGCGATGCCACGGTCGCGACGACACCCCATCGTGGGAGCCGCCCGGTTGGAGGAGAGCCTGTCCTCAGCCATTTTGCCCGAGCTACAGAAAATTCGCCCGGCTATTGTGCCTGTTCCTGTTAGGGTTGCTGCTCTGGGGCATCGTCTATGCGATACTGGGAGACGACGCCGCCCCTGGTGGCCAGCTTTTCGGCCTCGCCGCCCTTTGTATAGCCGCACACTTCGGAGGATGGCTGTTCTCCTTGACCACCCTTCCCGCTCTAATCGGTATGCTGATCACCGGGATTGTACTGCAGAACATCGGTCTAGTCTCCATCGAGGGCAACTACCACACCGTTATCTCCAATTTGCGGTGAGTCATTGCATTTTATTCCTATTTTCCGTTGCTTTCCAGGGGTAGACCATGATTATGGGGTGGCTAGGGTTTGAGTTTCTTTTTTGGGAAGAATTTTCTTTTAAGCCTTTTAATGCCTCAAATATATCGGTTTCTCGTGGGTCTTCCGGAGCATAACTTGGACCGATACGTTTATACTAGGCTTCCTGCTTTTTAATTTACTTTTATTCATGGAAAATAAATTTCTTTTATTTCGCGTAAAATTATAGACGTTTCGCAGAGAAATTTTAGAAAATGAAGGATAATATCTTCATTTTTAAGAGAATTTTAAAATAAAAATATTAAATTTTAATATATAATTCAAAAACAGAGAGGGTAAATAGGGGTGAGATATTTTTTTTTCTAATTTTGAGCAGTCTTAGGTAATTTGTAGAAAGAGTGATAACTCAGGGTTGATACACATGGTACAAAATATTGCGTAATTATTTGCTAAAAGTGTACGCAAATCTTTTTTCATAGTACTATACAAATATATTTTTATAATAATATATATTGTTTTAATAATTCTTTCTTTCATTTTTATCTATGTATGTTCTATAATAATTAATAACAGGTAACTGTACTGATATCTTCATATATATAAATACTGTCTTACCAAATAATTTATGAGACAGTATTGTTTCTCTAAATTATTTATTTCATGCTTACCAATGCTTAAAATGGTGGCTAAAAATTGCAATTTTTAAATGTCATCAAGTTTAGGAAGAATTCCATTACACATAAAAATTGTTTATCTTGGTAACTTTACTTTATCATAGTAGTACGAATATTTTTATAATATTATACATTCTTTTAATACTTCTTTCTTCCATTTTTATCTATGTGTGTTCTATAATAATTAATAAGGTAAATGTACTGATATCTTCGTATATATAAGTACTGTCTTACTAAATAATTTATGATACAGTATTATTTTTCTAAATTATTTATTACATGCTTCCTAATGCTTAAAATGGTGGCAAAAATTGCGATTTTTAAATGTCATCAAGTTTTGTAAGAATTCCATTATACATAAAAATTATTTATCTTGGTAACGCAAGTATCCAAAAAAATTTCTTCCAAATTGGAAGAAGAAACCCTACGTTGCATCATGGCTTGCAATGTTTTTATTTTCTCGCTCGCGAAATAATTCCATTGGGAACTGGTGTAGTGTAAACATCTTCAATGATCAATTAAGCTTGTTCCCAGAAGTAAACATCACGCATTGAGAAATTTCCCTGAGCTCACTTCCATTTCAGGAAAATATTCTGCCTCTGAAAAATAATTTACCTATCGCAACGGATTATCCGATGCAAAGATTTCAACGAATTCGAAAAATTTCCAAGTCGAAAATTACTAAACTTCCGTGGAATTTAACCCGCTGCGGATGAGTATCGGCAAATAACTTGTTTAGCAATTTTAACTAACATTTCGCAAATTCTTCGGACGAAAATTGAACTTTGCGAAATCAAGTTTGCAACTTTTACTGCGTTATTTTTCATCGCGCCCTCGGAAATTTCTCGTCCAGACGAACTCCTATGCAAAAAGAAAAATGGCCTCGTCCGCAAAAGGTTAATAAGACGTCAATTAATTTATTAAGTGACTAATGCATCGTGCAATGCGGTATTTGGCGTGTGGAATTTCAAAGGGGGTTCACCGATAAAAGCGGGGGAAAAGATAGGAAAATGGGAGCGAATTTTCCCATTTAAGAGGATGAATGATAAGAAAATTCACGCTTGTCGCGAAATGTGACAATTTACAAGTGTGAGCCACCGAGACGGAATGTTTGTACTTGGTTGAACGACATCGTTGACCCAACTGAGCTAAGGGGTTAATTATTACGCTGTTGCGCGTGACTACAGTTAGACTTAACTGAGCACGTGATTAAAATCATGTGCTGTTACGCACACATTACTTGTTCGGCTGAATTTGTAAATGGAACTTCATCATTTCGTAATTGAAATTTATTCCGCCGCGTCATGTGACAATATTTGTTCCTTCTGCTCGTGTCTGTTTCACCGGAATCGATTATTAGCATGATCGCCGTGTCGGAAATGTGTCGTATTAGGTTGATAGAAAGTACTGAAATATGTAAACGTATACGAATCATAATTTCGAATTACTCTGACAAGTAAAACAAGGAAATTCGTAATCGAAAGTGTTATACCTTCGTCTTGAGGTTAAACAAATGTTAAATAAATTTAGAAATAAATTAATTTCGGGATATTATTAATTGTCATGTTTGTCTGTGTTATCGAGACGAGTAATTTTCCTGTGAGAATTATTTAGTCCTTAGCAGGTACCAGATCTATCGGATGCTTTCTTTTTACAAAATGTACCAAATGCTCACGTGGCAAATTGTACACTTGCATACTCATTAATAATAATAATAATAATAATAATAATA